TATATAATATATATATATATATATATATATATATATATATATAGTATATATATATATATATATATATATATATACTATATATATATACTACTACTATACTTATATATATATATATATATATATATATATATATATATATATATATATATATATATATATATATATAAAGGCAATATAATATATATTTATATACATAATATAATATATAAAGGCAAAGCCGAACGACCACGAGTACATACCGTGGATCGAGTGACGACAAGACCGACAACCGAATGTTCTTGTTTGGGTCAGCAATGCTCACGATGATGAGTTTCTCAAGCACATCACTGAACGCCGATGTGATCTGCGTAGGCAGTGGTAAGGGGTGCGTTTGGTTGTTGTACTTGGTATTGTGGTCTGGAATTTGAGGTTTAACGGGTGAGTTCAGTGTGTCTATGGCAATTGTGGTCTACATGTGGGTTACCAACCAGCCCGCACAAGACTCGGCCCTTAAACAGTACAGGTGGCCCTGCCCTGAAAAGCAGGGACAGGGCCACTGCCAACACCTGCCGGTAGCCACTAGTCCATCCCGGGCATCAGGCATTGTATATAAACCAAACAAAGATACCTAACCCTAAACCCTATATAATAAGCCTTGAACACACGCGGACGCAATCGTACACTATCAACAATCATACAACTCCACACAAAGTGCGCTATAAATATCCTGTTATTTATAAAAGTGTATATAAATATATATATATATATCGCCCAGTTATCACACACCTCCAGTGGCAGTATAACCCTCCGCGCCGCTCCCTGCCCCTGCCTGTAGCCTTGGCCCTTTTCGATGTCTGTGCCTTGTGCACTACCCAGCATTAATTTGTCATGTGCCGGAATAAGCAATTTGGAGCACGTGAGAGCGGCCTCCTTACGCATAGACGCATCCTCGTGCTCCAGGTACATCACTACCGTACTGCGTAGAAAGGCCATCAGATTGTGTCCTGGTTTTTTGGGGGGGGTTTGGGGCCGATTATCGTTGATAAAGGTTATTGGACAGGTAGGTATGTGAACGATGAATATCTCACTACGAAATCATAAGTGTGTGTGTGTGTGTAAGAGAATAGGAACACAGGCGAGCTACTCGAGAAACACCACTGCGGTACTCCAGATTGTGCCCTGTGCTTTGGGTTTAGAGCCAAATGTCTTAGAAATTGTATTCAGTATATATAAATGAATACCGAGTATGATATATAATTAGACATGTGTATGCGCGCGCGCGTATGTGTGTGTGTGTGTATTTATGATATATAT